AAGTACACTGCTGAGGGGAGCAGCGGGCTGGTCAGGAGAGGTCTGCCACGCCATGTGGTCACCTCTGGGGCAGGCGGGAATCGATCTCATGCAGAAGCGGCTTTGGATTCTCAGTGCTGTGCTTTAACCCACTGCGCCACCAGGTGAGGGCTCTCAGCGTTTCCTTTTATTACTCCTTAGGCATCTGGTTTTGACAGTGAAGGACAGAAAGGTCTGCCTGATGCTGGCAGCAGCTTCTCCCAGTACTCCCTTTTGGCCCTGCATTAAAAGAATAATAATTAATTAAAAGAGCCTTACCTACTTTATAAGTCCAATACATTTTTATATGTAACAGTATATAATTATAATGTTGTGTAGATACAAATATACTTTGTTACATAATGTATAAATGCTATATATAGTCATACTATATAGTGTACATTTATGTCCCTATTAGTGTATATGTATTTGGATAAATAAAACACACAACCACTCACACATATGACCATATATATGCTTGCCAAATATACATAAACTTGTTGGATGATCCAGCTAAGGTAGAACTTGGCGTTTCAACAAACAAAAAATCCAGATCCACTAATTCCAGGAGTGTATTTCACATTTCCACCTCAGTAATACTCATTAGGTTTCACACTACCTTTTGGAAAGAAAACGTTTTGAAATATTACATGTTTTTGTGAATTACATTAATTCTGAAACTTCTAGCAGTTTCTTTCTAATGCTACTCAATATTCTAATGTAATGACATGAATATGAAGATGGTGTTTAATGACATTAGCATAATTCTTAAAAATAACTATAAACAGTTTACAAATTTGTATTTTCTCCTTTTTAAAAAAAGAATTATTTACTTATGCATACAGAACTGGGGTATAGGCCAGAGGTGCAGGGACAGTAAGAGGATTGAGAGATGGTCAGAGACAGAGTGGGGAGCAGAACAGGCAAACTGATGGAAGTACACTGCTGAGGGGAGCAGCGGGTGGGTCAGGAGAGATCTGCTGCGCCATGTGGATCACCTCTGGGGCCAGGGATTGAACTTGCACTGAAGTGGCTGAGGCCAGCCTGCAGTGCTGCGTCCTTATTCATTGTGTCACGTCACCAGGGAGGGTCCTTTTTTTTTTTTTTTAAGATTTATTTATTTTTGCAGGGACAGTGAGAGGATTCACCAAAGATAGAATGGGGAACAGAGTAGGCAGACTGAAGTAGTACACTGCTGAGGGGAGCAGCAGGCGAGTCAGGAGAGGTCTGCTGCTCCATGTGGATCACCTCCGGGGCCAGGGATTGAACTTGCACTGAAGCAGCTGCGGCGAGCTTTCAGTGCTGTGTCCTAACCTGCTGTGCCACCGGGGAGGGTCCTGCTCCTTGTTTGTACACAAAGAAAAAGAGTAACTAGGGTGGTCACAGTCCTTTATTATGTTAAATATATTTTTAAAGGTTTTTCTGTTTATGAAACAGTGAGCAAATCAGTATACTAGGATGATGAAAATGTTAGAAATCTGAAGTGTCTAAGAGTTTCTGTGTAATCACAAACTTCTCTGAAAATTATTTGAGTTTAAAGTATAAGGTGTGTCTGGTTTTGTTTTACAGAACGTCTTGTCTTTAATGACATTTTAAGGATCCCTACACACTGATAACTAAAACAAGTTATTACTTATCAACTATTTCAGTTGCTTTCTTCTCTTTTTAATTCTATTTGTAGTTAGTATTTTTTTCTAAGTATGACACCTATGAAAATAATTTTCTCTGGTAAATATATCACCTCGAAGAAATGTTTGGGTAAATTCTTTCTTGTCTACTTTTTCAATCTTTTGTAAATCTACACATAAGATTTGTAAATACTACTTTTAAATAAATTTTCAGGACTTAGAAGTTGTTTTAAAAAATGAAGATTGTTTTAAAGTCTGAAGTGGGTAAAGACATCCAAATGAATTAAATACATCACAACACTGGATGAAGCAGAAACTGCAGACATTGTGAATACTTTCTAGGTTACAGGACTATCGGGACCCAAAGAGAGAAAGAAGGAGGGGGTGAGAGGGAGCAAGAGAGAAGACAGTAATTTAAGGGGCCTTAGGAAAAGTGTTTTCAATGATAAAAATGATTAATTCTAACAAATGGTCCAATACAGAAATTGTTAGACCTTCAGGAAGGTGAAAGCCTACTCTTTCAACAATGGAAAAAGAAGTTAATTAGAAATTGCTGCACAGCCAAACATTGTATAAAGAAAGTCACAGGCCAAGCATGAAGTGAATTAAGATATGGCATGACTTTGGATTATAGATGAAATGCAAAGGAAAAAAATCAATTTGACCTTGATGACCTGGAACATTCTCCTATGAGTGGTTCAATTTTTGTAAAATAGGATTATTTCTCTTCCTCCATAGTTCCATGCTTACACTTGGTTTTGCAGTTTAAAAAAAAAAGGTTAGAAAATCATTAGCAGTGTACTAGGATATTAGATTTGAATGTAACTGAAGGCATCAAGATATGATAGTTATTAGGTATCAAAGCAAGAAGATGTTGCAGAAGTTTCAAAATACGTGGTCAAAAGCCAGTCATATGATTTGCCTGAATCTATACTGGAAGTCTAGATTACACAGGACAGATATCATGGTTGTGAGTGGAGAAGGTGCAGTTAATTGGGATCTGATCAAATTCTTAATCTGTCTGCATGGAAAAAAGGTGAAAGGTTCTTTAGCCACTTTTGAGCCTAATGGAAAAAGATAGCCACGCTTGAGCTACTTAAAATTGGCACAAGAGAATCATGAGGAAGGACAATCTGCTGAAAAATCCAGGACCTGAGGGCAAAACAGCAGTCAGAGAAAAATACGATTCTGGCATGTGAAGTACGGACAGAAGTTCTCAGTGGAAGCATCGGAAGACTCTGTCAGGCCCAGAGAAGACAGTTTTCCATTAGGGTGTCAGTCAAGTAATAACAGTTTACTCTGTCTCATTCTCTCTCCTCTCACTTTGAAACTTGAAGAGGTTGGAAAGCATGCATAGTTAGATGGGAAGCATGGGTTGGAAGGAGACAGAGAAAGAAAGACACTGAGCCTCATCTTCTCTGGCTTCCTGTCTTTACTGGAAGACAGAAGTTTTATCTTGGAAATGTTTCAAGTTTTGATTTTACAGGGAACGAAACACTTTTAATGGCTGAATTGAGACTGTGTTCACTAAGTGAAGTAATCACGGGGATTTTATTGCTTAAGAAGATCCAAAGAAGTCCTGAGGTTTGTCAGTATTTTCCAACACAGGGACACAGAAAAGAACTCACCCATTGAACAGGTTAGGGACTCAAGGAGAAAAAAGAGCTGTGTTCTGATATATTTCGTGAGTCCTGCTTATTTACTATGACAATGATATATTTTTATAATAAAACTGCAGATAAAGCTTAGAAGACTTACATTTAGAAGAGTTACATTTACAGAACAGAACGCTGGTTATTAAACCCTGATGATGTAAAAGTAATGAAGTGTAAAAGTAAACGAGAGAGGAAAGGCAGAGGGAAGCAGAGGGAGCCCATTCCTGAGTTAGAGTGGTGTCACGCTATACTGCCTCATACTGGTGGACTAAGAAATAGGTGGTTAACTGTGAAATTCGAGAAATAAAAATGGAATGAGTCAAAATTGGAAAAAGGAGAACAGGAGGAAAAGAGTATGTGATTTAAATTCCTCAGCTTTCATAAACGGTAATGACCATTTCAGTACTGACAAAACAAAACAGAGACAGAAGACTTCAAAACACAAGGACAGGCAGGTTCAGTTGGTAGTGGGACTGGTGTCAGAAAGGCGGAAATTTTACTTTTCACTTTTATATACTCCTCTACTTTTTGAATTTTTATAACTACATGTATGCATAATGCTTAGGATAATAAGACAAGTAGAATTAAAGAAGGCAGTAATGTTGATTTAGAAATTCCTACCTGGCTCTAATCCATGGTTTGGTATGCATGTCCAAACCACTTCCCCAGCTGCCATGCTTTTCTGAAGCTGGTGGCAAAAATCCCCTTTCAGGGGCCAACTCCTCTGCAATAGCCCGGATGTGGTAGGGCTCAAATCCGCAGCACCCGCCAATGTACCGGATCCCCAGGTTGTAGGCTTCTCTGGCATATTTATGAATATCCCATCTGGTTGCAACTCTAGGCTCCAGTGCTGCAACATACAATAGTTATAACATTTCCATTACTGTCTCTATCTTCTATTGAAAGATGCCCTGGTGGTTATTATTTTTTCAATTAAAAAACGATAAACATTATATTATGCATTCTTCAGGTGGCTCACTTTTAGTTAGCGCTGAATGTTTTTGTTTATACAGTATGCTAGACCAGTTATTATTGTTATAGGTGCTTCGATTTTGTTGCAACAAGAAATCACAGGGACCTCCCACATATACCAGAGCTTACCAAAGGGATATTCAGGGAGATCCACAAATCCTCCCTTGTTGCAGTCAGGTGTGTGGAAGCCCAAGGACTGCACCATAAGGTGTGCTTTCAACCCTGCAGCCTGCAGGCCTTCCTTCATCAGCTCCATTGTCTTCAAACTCGTACTGGGCCCAAAGCGGCAGTTGACCCCAACAATTGAAGCCCCTAGCCAAAGAAATACAGAAATTCTCAAGCTAAGTTAGAAGGAAAAAGACAGATCCCAGATGGTGTTGTTTACATGTGGAATGAAGAGAAACTAGACATCTTATTTATTTCTTGTTTTTAATTTTTTAGTAGTTGGAGATTACATTGGAGACTAAGTCTTCTCCCTTCAGCTCTGAAGTTTTATAAATAAGGAGACTGATTCCTCTAGTTAATCCTCTTATTTCTGAACTGCTCTCACAAATACTAAGCAAACGTTAAAGTTCATAAACAATGACTGAACTCCTTATCACATTGAGTCCAAATTACCTGCCTTCACCAGCTTCACAGCGCATTCTCCAGGTGTCACGCCGTGCAGATCTCCCTCTGGGCCGATGCACATGGTCGCTGCCACTGGTTTCCCTGATCCTTTTAAGACTTCCACAGCCCACACAGCTTCTTCAGCATACTCAAAATACTAAGAGAAATTTCATTTTTTTTTCTAGAGGTCCAAATATAAAGCAGGTTTTGAATGGCAGAATACAAATATTGCAAAACAGTTATAAAAATAACCAAATATATATGACAGGGTAGGCTGAGAAATGTATCTCTAGCAGACTGACTAGTGGTACGTTTCTGAGTAAAGAGTTGAATGCCTTTGGCAATAATATATAGGTTTTCACTCAGAGGTCATTGATTCAGTAAAAGGGTGACTGGTACTGAATCACACAGTTTCTAAAACTAAATGAGTATTTAAAATCATGATTTGATATGATAAAGAATAAAATTGGATTCATCCTTTATGGAACTGGGGTAACTTCTAAAAAATAATGAACAGTGTATCATGCTTAAAAGTGTTTTTATGTTCACTGCTAGTTAGATATTCACAAATAATCCTTAAAAGTAGGAGGCTGATAACATGGGTGGAGCTGGAAAAGAAATGCTTAGTGAAATAAGCCATAAAGAAAAGGAAAAATACCGGATGGTTTCACTCATAGCAGGATTATAAAGGACCAGGTGAGAAAATAATAATAATGAACAACTATATACCAGAGACATTTTATGGGGGTGGAGTGGGGAATGGGATCAAAAATGGTGGGGGGAGTGCACAGGACTATGGTGATGGCAGCTGGGTGATTTGGTGATGGGAAGCCTACAGGGATTACAACTGAGATGGAAAAAGGCACAACATGATATAAAAATAAACTTACATTATTTAAAAAAAAAAAAAAAGTAGGAGGCTGACACCCAGAGAACATTAAGGGACAGAGTGGAGAGGGGCTAGCTACTCAGTTTCTTTGATGATAGCTGACAGGACACCCATGCCATTTTCAGGGTTTCTTCACAGGAACCCCCATAAGTATGACAACTGAAAAAGCTGACCTTAAGTTTAAATAGAGAAAGCCAGTGTAAATCTCCCTGTTTTTTCCATCTCAATTTAGACGCAGGTTCTGCAGATGCTGCAGTGTGCAAGGGATGACAGAAAGAATCAAGAGAGTTTCTTTAAAAAACAGACTTGCATTCTCCTCCATCTGGCAAGCACATAGGACAGTGTTTGCGTTAGTGCCTGCAGATGAATGCTTCTGTCGCCCTGAGCCTAGGGAAGGCAAGATTTCAGTAGAGCAGTCAGGGAAATACAACTGCAAGGCTTTTGTCCTGGGGTAAAGACTTACCTTGTCCAAGTGGTAGCGATTGCGATGGGAAGAGGGGGATGCAGGTGTTTTAATTTGGGGAGGTGGCAGGAAAAGAATGTTCTGGATCTTCATGATCAGCAAGTGACCAATTCCTACTGCTTCTTTCTTCAAAATATCACTCATATGGTATATCCCAAGTTAAACACACAGAGGCAGGAGTGAGCAAGATATAAATGGAGGGGAGCCAGGGACTGAATGATAGTGGTGGGCTTGGCTGAATCTGATTGTGGGATGAAACCCACCATCTAAGCTTTGCTTCTGTGTGAACTCTTGCCCCCAGTCACATTTCCTTCCAGTTCTGTTCCTCCCTTGGGACAGGATGCTCCCTGAATCACTGTCCCCTTTCTCGCACCCCACATTGTAAGGCCTCCTGAGAGTCAGTGGCTGCAGCCACCCAGAGCTTAGAAAAACCACAGGGGAAAGTTAGACCTTCCCTGGGTCTGTCCTTTGACTTCAGCAAGAAGCTAGCATACAAGTGAGATGGTGTTGGTCAAAGGTTAAACAAACCTTTGATACAGAAGAAATGAAGGCACAAGGCAGTCCATAATACCCTCACAAAAGTTGAATACTATGCAGTTATACTTGCCAAAACAGGCTTCATCCTTTTCCTGTAATGCTAAGCTTACCTCTGCAATCAAGAAGTCCACATTTTTCCCGATAAAGACTTGTAGCTGGAGTTGGAAAAGTTTTTTAATCCTAGCTTCATCCTTGAGTTGTTTGTATGTTGATGTGTGGCAGATTCCTGCTGCTACCAAAGCATCACCTTTGTCAGCCACTTCTCTAGCAAGGTCACAGGCAACAGCATTTACATCTTCCCACTGGTTAGAGAGCAAGAGTTGAGATGGTGGACATGGCATTTTAAAGGTAAAATATAACAAATAACAAAGGAGTGAATGAGCCAATAAGAGGAGTATAAATTTCTAGTTTAAACAGTAGTGTGAGAAAATCAGCAGAATTGGGTACCACCTCCTCTACTGCCCGTGAACTTTGTCTTTCCCATGATTCTATTTATTACACTGGATTGTAGTAAATGCTTATTTGTTTGCCTTTCACAGTTAACTGTGAGCCTCTTCAGATAGAGTCTGTGCCTTTATGTCATCTTTGTATATAGCACAAAGAATGGACTAGAATGCATACTCCATATAATACAACTCAATAAATGTTTGGTTGAATTAACATTTACAGGTATTAATACCTTATACTTACAGAGTATTTTGCAGTATTCCACATCCTTCACTTTACTCACTTTTTTTCTCAACAATCTTTTATGCACGCCAGCATAAATTATCCCCATTTTGCAAAAAAAAAACAAGTGTTTCATGCAGTTGTGTCTTGCACAATGTCACACAACCAATAGGTGGCAATGTTGGGTGTCAAAGCTAATTATTCTCATGCCAAGCACTGTTATGTTCCCAAAGGAATAAGAAGAAATATGGAAGAGTATAAAGTGTTTCTCTGCAAAAAATTTCACAGAAGCATGATGATGCACTTTCAATGAGCTCTATCCTTTCCCATCTCCCCTACTTAAAAACTTATATATGTAACATAAATTCTCAGTAAATACTATATTAATAGATATTTTACATATATATGACAGCTACTAACAGATATGTTATATACCTATAAATTAAGTAGGTACAGAAAAGATACTACATAAGTATTAACAAGTTAGGTCAATTCCACAGCTCCCATCAAGAGGTTATTTATTTATTTATTTATTTAAAGATTTATTTATTTGTGCATACAGAACTGGGGTACAGGCCAGAGGCTCAGGGGCCGTGAGAGGCTTCACCAAAGACAGAGTGGGGAGCAGAACAGGCAGATCTACGAAGTACACTGCTGAGGGGAGCAGTGGGCGGGTCAGGAGAGGCCTGCCACGCCATGTGGATCACCTTCGGGGTGGAGATGGAACTCATGATGAAGTGGCTTTAGTTTCTTAGTGCTGTGCTTTAACCCGCTGCGCTCTTTAACCCGGAGGGCCCAAGAGGTTATTTTTATTACCCATGACCCCTGCTCTTCTTCTACCTCTCCGACCACCACTCCCACACAGTTGGCATTTGTAGTTTACCTTTTCCATACTGTCCTCACTGGCAGAAAAAGTGAAAGTCTGCATGACATTTGCTCCTGCTCTCAAGAATTCCATGTGAAGCTGATGAACTACAAAGTAGTTGTTTTCAAAATTAAAATCACAGAAGGTATCATTTTCAGCAACAGGCGTTGATTCACTCATTTCTTTCACTAATACACAATATCAAACTTGGTAATTATTAAATAAATGCACACAGAATTCAGTAGAATACAAAGGAAATACATGGCAGAGTCCATAAATAGGGGCTCTATGTAGTAGCCTCATACTGCTCTGCTGGTGGGTCTCTACAGTCACCCGCAGAGACTAAGGCTTGGTTGGCCAACTGCCCTTCAGCCTCATGGTCTAGAAAGGGTTTATTCTTTTACCAGTACCTTGAAGGATGTTGCTAATTTACTTATAGTCAGTGCTCAGCCCTCTGAACAGAGTGAAGAAATTGTCCTAGTGAGCAGAATGTGCATGGGGGGAGATTCAGCAGCAAGTAGCTGGAGGGATACATTCTGGAAGATTTCCTTGGCCATTTAGAAAGCCCCTCCTCTCTCTGTCTAGCCCCCACTTACCTCTCCCACACCTCACACCCCATACCCCAGCCAACCCCTACAACCCTCTTTTGCTGTTTCAATACTTTTTTCCTGGGTTAGCAAAAAGATCTTCTAAAATTAAGGAAAAGTTTTTCTTTGGTAGATGAAACTGCCTGCCAAGCACAAGAGATAAGAACTTCATCCTACTAGATAATTCTGTTGTCTGATGAAACAGTAATAATGGTCATCAATCTTGCTAGTATCATATCCCCATGTGACAGGTGAAAAACTGATCCTTGGAAGGTCAGTTTCTTTTCAGTGAAAGAACAAAACAGCACCCCAACTTTGTCAGATATACTGCACATATGTAAATGAAATCTGATCAAATAAAAAGTTTCTTTTCCAGTTCATATCCTTTTTCACATTTCATTCTTTCTTTATTTCCCACTTTAGGAGAGTGAAGATATACATAAAATAAGTAAAAATAGAATTAAAGCTCTAATTTCTACTTCCAGCTGTTTTTTCAGCCAGGAGGAGGTAAAGCTGTGTTTTTTTTTTTTCTCTCTCTCTCTCTCTCTCACACACACAAACACACGTGTGCATACACACAAACCCCAGAAACTGGCTGTCTATTGTCTATGCTGTGAAGATAGTGATTACCATCAATCTGGGCACACTGATGCAAATTAGCTAGAAGGAGGACTCTGAAGCAGTAACATTTTTAACTGTGTCCTGTGTTAAGGAAATTCTTGAATGTCTTCAAGATAAATATTCATGGGAGAAGTATTAACACATATTTCCTTTAGCACTCTAAGTGGGGAGAGAAGCAGCACACGAGAGCGTGTTGTTTGCTTCACTTTGTTTTCTGTTACCATCTCCATTTCCAGCAGTTTTTGCCAAGTGAAACAGACAGAAAACACCAGTTATTCAAATTTTCTCTTATATTTTAAGGAAGATGTCACCCAGGTAAGCACTCTTGGTGATGCTGTCACTGACCTGCTGCTGGATGTTCAACTACTACTTCTGGAGTCCAGAGCCCAGCCTTCACATAGCCCCTCTTCTCCAGAGTTAGGAGAAAGCTGCCATCTCCAACCACAACCTCCCCGCTGTCCAGGCGTTCCAGAATACCCTGAAAAAGCAAGAAAATCAACTAAACCTATTCCCTTTATTATCCTAATTTTAGCAAAGGTGATGCTATTTTTTTTTCTTTTTACTTCGCAGCTTTAGTGCTGTTAAAAATTATTAGTGTCTAAAAAGCAAAGATTTTCAGAAAGATTGAGTACACTATGTCTTCAATAATCCAGGTATTTGGTTTGGGTGATGAAAGCGATGTAACTATTTTTTCTTAAATAACATTTAACATGAGTTAAATTATAGTGAAATGCTAGTTCCATGAAAAATTATTTTGGTTTTTCTTCAACATATGAGGGCAGATTCTGCTTGCTGCTTGGTTAATATGCACACTCTTTGTTTAGTATGTTTTATTTAGAGAAGGAGGGCCAATGAGACAGCAGTGGAAGTTTATTAAAGATTTCTAGAAAAGTGTTGCTTTTCTGATACAGATTCTCACTCTTGTTCATTTTGTCACTTCTTATCCTTTCTGACTGGAATGTCAGCATAAGTCCTGGTAGTCTAGTAATCAGCTTATAGTTATGCCATCAAAAGCGTGCTAAGGCTAGCAGGGCTCTCTGGTTTCTTAAAGACATCACTGAGTAGCTGTAGCAGCTATGGATGGACCCCCAGACCTGTTGCTAAATGAGAAGAACTCACCTCATTTTTGTGTGTAAAACACAGAAAATAATCCTAATGGACACAAATTTTATAATTATGCACCACATTTTCCAGCACTGTCCAAGGATATTGAGTATTCCCAGCAATTCTGAGAGTTAAACAGAGGAGACCGTTTTCCTTACCATTTTTTAGATGAGGAAACGGAGGTTCAAAAAGGTTAAATGACTTGTTTAACAACAACTCAAAATAAACAAAGGGAAAAGCAGACTTTTTAGACTTTAGAAGAAATCTTCTAAATTCCTTATATGCCCTTTTACTATTTCCTACCTTTCTATTCATCCTGCCCATGATTTAAATAAGGGGTTGTAATCAGATTAGTTAGTAATGAGATTAGGATTTTCCTTGTCTAAAACATGCCTTTCTTGGATGTCTACACCAGTTTACCCTTTCACTTCCTTCAGGTTTGAGAGGGTCTTAGATCTTTTCAGAGATGCTTTCCCTGATCACCCCATTCAAAACTGCAAACACCCATGTGGTGATCCCCACCCCTGATGTTCTGACTGCCTTAGTTGATTGTTCAAAATACAAGACTAGTTTATTTCAGGCCTGCCAACAGCTAGACATAAAACATGATGTGGATGGGGGAAAATATCTCCAGTTGTCCTTCCTAGCCAGTTGTATCTCCAGTCAAGTAAGGTACATTAGAAAGGATTTCCCTGGAGGCTGCGCACCAGGGCCCCACACCCACAACAGCTTCACTTTGCTGTAGATTTGGACTGGAGCCCTGCTTTGTTTGCTGTGTTAATCTTAAACACTGATGTCACACAGAGAGATTTTGGTTGTTTCCCCCATTTTTATATCTAATCATGAATTTTGGCTACATGTGAACAGGAATCTTACTTATCTCTGTACACTCCCTCCATCAGATGCAAATGATGCAAATTTTGTACAGTTGAAACATACAAAGGGACCTCAGTTTTAAATTTTCTCAAGGCCTTCCCACATCGCAGATATTCCCTATGCAAAAGGGATGAATGTTGGAATAAGACAAGATCACTGCCCTCAAGAAACTCAAAGTCTGGCAAGCTTGGCAAAGACCAAGAGGTAACATTGCAGCACAATATAATAAATGAGGCTGCAGAGGAATACAGAGAAGAGAAGCAGAGAGATAGTCATCTTTATCAAGCTTTGTCTTAGATATTTAATGATGTCAGTTAATTTTACTGTTAATTAAATTCATTCTCACACATCAAACAGTTCTAAAGGGGAAAAACACTGGCACACAATTTGGGTGTTAGAGTCTTTTGCTTCCCACAACCAGTCTGTCAAAGGGTCCTGTTAGCAATTTGGAGCCAAGCAAAATGAAAGGAAAAATATGGCTTGGATGATTTTTTAAATCTCCATCAAATGATAGGACTAAGGAGAGAGTTACTTCTGGCCTTAACCCCAAGTGTCTCTATTTAACACTTCTCATTGCTGTTCCCCCATCCTTGGAATATTCTACTGTACACTATCTTCCATTGTTGCCAGCACAAAACCTTTTCTGAAATACTCTCAGTTGTCATGATCTCCTCCTTTGAGTTGTCCTTAAGTTCACACACCTTCCATTTCTGCACCCAACACCTCTATTGCAATATCTAGTTTCTTAGCTATCTCCTTTTGCTTGTCTCAAGGTGTTTAAGGCATGTCTTCAGTTGTCTATATTGCTACTTCCTCATACAGTAGGCAACATAGAGGAGAAGACCCTTAAATATGTAAGTTAGCAGGTGGACTAGGCAGCTTTAAAAATATTGGGCTGCATATATGCTATAACTTTGATCCTGTGGACATTAAAAAATGATGATCTTTAATAGAAAATAAGGTACGGTTTTAAGAAAATTATACTACATATTTTCACTATCTTTATGGTACCAAATAGAAGATCTGTTATCTGGATGTCTGACCAATATTTAAAATATTGCCAGTTTTCTAAATAATCATTAGCAAAATAACTAAATTACCAAGATAAGAACTAAATAGACACATTTTTAACTCCTCCCTCACTATGATACCTACAATCTCAAATGATGAGACCAATACAATCATAAGACAACTCCAGAATGGTAAAGGGCTGTGTCAAGTGAAGACATTTATCATTTAGACTTTCATTCTGTTCTTCTTTTCAGTTAGGCAGTGAATCTGATAGTGAACTCAGAGAGGCAATTATGTCTTCTTTCTGTAGCACCCTCACTGTGGATTGAAGATCTTGCTACAGGACAGTTCTGCTCGTACAGAGGAGAAGACACAGCAGGAGACAGCCAGAAATCCAGTCTGCCTAAAATATCTACCTACCTGCCTCTTTGGGTGATAGAAGCAGGTAGAGATATCTTCGATGGCAATTAAATGATTTTTCAAATATTCTTGTCAGGGGAGAAGAGAGGAAAGCATTAACTCCTTCCCACTAACTTTTTAACTTCCAGGTACACATTAACATAGATGTCATTATGATCATTTTGGTGTTGCAAGAGCAGAGGTCAGGGAGAAATTGAACAGGGACGCCTATTTTAAGTCTTTTTTTTAAAAAAACTGAACTATGAAAATAAACAGAGCATCACCCAAAGTCTACAGAAAGAAATCAGTACAATGCTTTTGCTTCTGTATCTTTTTTATTATGCTCATTTTTTTCTTCAGTACTCATGTTCTATTTCCATAGGCAGGAAAATATATCTAAAATACATTTCTGTTGTGTTTTCAAACCCTTACTCCACATCTTACATAATTGTTACCATCATTGTATCCTTCCCTTCAACATATATATAAATATTTTTATATAGTTGGGAGAAGTCTGCACTATCTCCTTTTGTAACTTAACCACTGCCAAAGTGTTTTTGCTGATCCCATGCTTAACTTTTTTAACTAGTTGCCTAAAAACTTATTAAGTGGATAAAACTTTATTAGAGAGCCATTGTAGGGAATCTTTGTTGCTCCCAACTTCTTAGTATAAATGAACCAGTGCTGCACATTTCCATTCCTATATCGCTGCCTCCCCTCCCCCGCCCCCCACCCATCTGAATTACAGGGCACAGGTGGGTTGCTCAGAGGGGCCTGGATATGTCCCGCATACAAGTTCAAGCGCCTCAACCTTTTGTAATTCCTTCCCCCCATCACGCACACACCCTCCGCAAAAATGTAGGAGCAGCACAGACAGTGGCCACCTAGACCGAGAAAGGCCAACAAGGAGTGAAAGAAGAGGACTGTCGGGAGCGAAGAGGCAGAAGGTCTCCGCAGCACTGCACCCTCGGCCTCGCGCCACGGGTGTGGGACATTTTCAGGCCTACCCGCGGCTCGCAAGGCTGGGGCCCTTTTCGGAACATGAAGGAAACGGGGTCTGGAGCCTGGAAGGAGCAAAGAGCAGCGGGTGAAGGTCGGCAGCGCGAAGAAAAAGTGAGCGCAGGTGAGCGCGGCTTCTCAGCGGGGAGGCTAGACTTCGAACCCCCGCTCGCGCGGCGCCAGTGCTGAACTCCGAGCCTCAGTTTCCCCACCTGCAAAATGGGATTCAGTTTTGCGTAAAGCACTGTCAGTATTGCCAGACAAAGAGAAAGGGCTCAATGGAAGTTGCCCAAGGTTGTTGTTCTAATCTCCACAAGAAGCAGCATCTTCACCCCCAGACAGTCGCGATCCGGTAAGCCGAGGTTCCGAGCCCCCAACGTGCCTGGACAAACCCATAGGGTTTGACTGAGGTTGGAGTGCGATTTGAAATTCAAGCGGTGGGAACCCCACGTTCTGCAGGGCTGAGCACCTCTGGAGCTCGATTCCCGAACACTCACCTTTTTGGACCCAGGACCTGCGGTCGGTGCCATCTTGTGACTGCGGGCACCGGGTCTCGCGGGCGCGCTAGTTCAGGAGTCCGCCCTTCGCCCGGGGGAGGGTCCCACCGCCTCCCAGCCGGCTCCGAGGCCCCAGGCTGCTGGCTGGCCTCAGAACAGGTGCCCGCACCGTGGGTTTCGGCCTCGCCATGCTCCGAGCAGGAGCCCAGTGGCTTCGGGGCCTCGGGTTTTCGAGCTTCCCGCCGCGGGGCTCCTCCAGCAGCCTGCGCTCAGGCTCAGGCACCAAAGGGTGAGTGGGGGTCCCACCTGCCTAGAGGCCGGAGGCCTAGGGCTGCTGGGGTGGGAGCGACAGGTTGAGACAGTCTTCTGGGCTAGGGGGCGCTTCCGTCTCTTAAGAAACTGACATTAGGATATCTACTTAAATTGTCTTGTTTTCTTTGCCATACACAACGTTACGAAGTGATGCAATATCAAAGGGTTTTCAGAGAAAAATCTCTCTCCCCAGTTACTTTCTAGACAACTGTTCATTGAGTCTTCTTCATCCTAAAACAGATTATGTGTAGTGGCTTATGTGTAGGCAAATACAAGTGTATATGTATTCTTTGACTTTCTCAGACCTTGCTTTTTTCAGCTATCAGTATTGCTTGGAGATTGTTCCATAGCAGCAGATATTAATGTGTCTTAAGCTTTTTGATGATTGTATAATTTTCCATTCTGTCAGTATTCTATAATATAATTAAACTGCCTTTTAATAAGCAGTTAGACAGTTTCCAGCTTTTTGTTACTGCAAAGCTATGCATATGAAAAGTATATACATATATTTGGGTACATAAGGTAGAATGGTTCTAGAATTAAGTTTAAAAGTGTAATTGCTGGCCCTCCCTGGTGGTGCAGCGGGTTAAAGTACCGCACTGAGAAGCTAAAGCCATTTCTGCATGAGTTAGGAGGTGACCACATGGCGCGGCAGACCTCTCCTGACCCGCGCGCTGCTCCCCTCAGCGGTGTACTTCGTACATCTGCCTGTTCTGCTCCCCACTCTGTCTCTGGTGAAGCCTCTCACCGCCCCTGAGCCTCTGGCCTATACCCCAGTTCTGTATGTACAAATAAATAAATCTTTTTTAAAAAAGTGTAATTGCTGGGGGAAAACATTTACAATATTGTGCATTTGAAATATTGGAAGCACCAAATTATCCACTAAATCAGTGGTGTCAGCCTGCCTGTACCCCACCAGTGTATTTTTTTCTTCAAATCTTGCCTAATATCTTTGCTAGGTTAAAATGATATCCTGTTTCAATTTGCCTGTATTTAAATAGGAGCCTTGTTGAACCTCTTTTGACTTCCCTATCTATGTTGATAGATTACTCATAAATGCAAGGCAAACATTTTTTAACACCTTGAATTGACTCAGTTTTTATGACTGAAATGACTGGCATCAGAAGATCTGGATTTGTGTTCATTCTTTCATTCAACAAATATTTACAGGGTGACTGTAAATGCTAAACTTGCTTCTAGGGCTGGGATGACAGTAGCCACTGAGTCACAGTTCTTGCTCCATCAGTGATAACAGGATGTGACCTACACTTGTGCATCTGTCTCCTCATCTGTGAAATGGAGATATTACCATTTGCTCTAACTCACAGGATTGCCGCATATATTAAATGAGAGGATGCATATGAAACTGCTTTGTAAAGTGAAAATTTTGCATACAGTATATCTAATATAATAGTGATACATTCTATCCACTGAAAAATAAAATATAAATTTGCAAGCATGAGTTGATCTGTCAAAACTCAGGACCAACCAAAAATATATTTTTAATAATCATTTGATAAAATGTGTAGTTCTATATTGGATAAATCAAAATTCAAATGATTTTATTTCTATTGTATATTCTTTATATGCCTAGTTTCAAATTATCAAGAAGATGTTTATTTTGGAAAACACTTTGGCAAGCACACAATCTATAATGTTTCAAGGAGAGAACCTGGAATTTTTGCCTGATTTCTGTTTTATTGCCAGTATTTAAGACCATTCCTGGCTGCTTCCGGGAATTTAAGAAAGTTATCTATATATCATTTTTAAAATACTGCTTTTAATCGAGAATCCATTGTGTCACGCTGGAAAGAAGAAACACTATACATTGTGCAATGTTTTATTTCATATTCCATTTTCACAACTCCATTTTGCAAGTGAATTTTTACATTCTTATCTAAATTTCTTTGAAACAGCTATTCAGTTGAACTGGGGTCTCAAACCCAGGTTTTCTGATATTAAATTCCTTATATTTTATGTTTCACCTCATTGCTCTCCTAAAAGAAATCATATTTGAACACACACACAAAATATTATTTCTTGTCACCAGTATAATCATTTCAGCTACAGTGCAAGTTCTCCCCAGGCCATTTGAAAATGGATTTCTGTGCAAAGTAGTCAGATCATGTGTTCATTTTTTCCCCCTTTTGTTGTACATAATGAGATAATAAAAGACATTTTAAAATTAAGCAAAAGTACTGGAATATATTGTGGTACTATAGAAATAAAGAATTAGTCAAAGAATCTTGTGACTGTGTCAAAGAATCTTCTGTGAGCCAGATCTGGCTTTAGAATAAATGGTGAATAGTAATGAATTATAACCCACTGAGTACAGTAAATAGCCATGAGTTTGTATTAACATAAACAATAAATAAGCCAGAAAACAAAAGAAAGACAATTACCTCCTTATAGTAGAATGCCAACTGATAAATATAAAAGGAATAATGGCGTTTGGAAGTAATGAAGAGATTTAAACCACTCAGTGAAGGTTTTATGTGGAGCAGGATTTTGAAGCATTCACAAAGCAATACCCTACAGATTACTTTTAATTACATAGTGGGGGAGGGAGTGGTGACTTTACTGGTTACATGCAACATCCCTCCATCAAGTCATCAAGCATCAAACAACATATATACTTCTATGGAATCCTCCTTTATAGCAGCTTTCATTATTTCAATGAATTGCATTGTTGCAGTTTCCACATTTATGTTTCTATTTGATAACTTGCTACCATTTTGTAAGCTTCAGAGAGTAGAGATAATGATCATTTATCATTGCTACATAGTGTATAGTCCTCAGCTCAATGTAGGAACTGAGGAAAAAATAAGTAAAATGGACAAATGAATGAAATGTGTATCAGAAATATGATCCAGGATAATAATTAACACCCTACTCACCCTACTGATCTCTACTACCGCTAGTAGCATTGAATTTCCTGGAAGACATATCATGGGAATGATCAAGAGAAGTCAAGAGGAATATGACTACTCTTAAATTTATTCATGCAATACATATACCAGATATAGTTACTAGGCTAGGGCCAAGGATCAGTGATGAATAAGACATTGTCCTTGTCTTTAAGAAGCTCAGTTCAGAAGACAGTCATATAAATAAATATATCAAACCATTGAGCAATAATTATAATTAGGGAAGCATGTACATTGGGAGAGGAAATTGAGGAAGATTTTTACTCTACCTGGCTTTTAATAACTTCAGAAACATTGAAGGGAAGAGTAATCCAAGATTAGTAGATGGTAAACTTCACCACGATTATAGTTTTTCACCTTACAGTACAATTATAAGTGTGCTTTATCAGTAGAATGAGAAATCTATTCTCTGGATTCTAAAGGGTAAGACAGAGCCGAACTAATAACAAATCCTAGAAATTTAACTGTAAAAATTAGGCAGCAAGGGAAGGGGAAAGTTAGGGAACCCAGTGATCTACAGTGAAGAATAATAGGTGCTTTGGAGGTAGATGGCATGTGGTATTTACATCTGAAGAGGAGTGAACATGTACCTCTGACTCATATACAGGGTTATAAACCATTACCTCAATGAAAAAAGAAGTTACTTGTTCAATTCTTCAGCTATATTAGCTACATACACTGGGTTAGAATTATATGGAATAGGACTCGAATACCCTCACCTCCCTCACTCAGCCAGGCAAGACAAAGTTTAGGTAGCCCATTGATTAAATCAATACCATGCAAATCTCACTGGTACAAGGTATTAGACAACAAACAAGAAAAGTCACGCTAGTTAGGAAAAAGTAAAACTACCATAATCTTGTAAATCCACCATTTACAAATATTGTATTCCAGAGAGGAAAAACCACCTTCATCTTCGGACACAAGATGGAAAGACAGAGCAGAGACAGTGATAATTGGAGGTGGTTGTGTTGGTGTGAGTCTGGCTTATCATCTGGCCAAAGCTGGGATGAAAGATGTGGTCCTACTGGAGAAGTCAGAACTGACCGCTGGATCTACCTGGCATGCAGTAAGAAAGCCATAAAATACACTGAATTATGCCATTAGTATAATCAATTTTGCTTCCCATTCATGACTCCCCACTGCTAGCTCTTCAGCATTTCCTTCCAGTAATGTTGAATAATGTTAGAAAGTTCCAGTTTGGTTGGTATTCTACCAGATAATGATCAACATTTGTGATGTCTTTGTCTTGAGCATATGGCTTCTGGATTTAACCCCTGGGTCTGCTATTTCCTGCCTATATGACTTAAGGGAAATTACTTAAGTATCCATTTTCTGATGTATAAAATGGAAGTATTAATAGTACCTACCCAACAGGGTTGTGATGAAGATTGAATTAATATGTGAAGATTGTGAAGCACATGGTAAGTATTTAGCAAATGTTAGCTTTGTGTTGAAGGAGAATGGCTGAGTCTGAATATGGTTTGAAACCTTTATCTATATTCCAGCACTTTTTTTTAAATTTAAAGATTTATTTATGCACACAGAACTGGGGTACAGGCCAGAGGTGCAGAGGCAGTGAGAGGATTCACCAGACACAGAGTGGGGAGCAGAACAGGCAGATCAATGAAGTACACTGCTGAGGGGAGCAGAAGGTGCATCAGGAGAGGTCTGATGTGCCATGTGGTCACTGCTGGGGTGGGGATCAAACTCCTGCTGAAGTGGTTTTAGCTTCTTAGTACTGTGCTTTAACTGGCTGCATCACCAGGGAGGGCCCCCAGAACATTTTTTTTTTTTTTGCTTATTGTCATTTTTTAATTGTTTTATTTGTGTCTTTTCTTTTTTCCGTTTATTTTTTTTAATAATATAATAGTTTATTTTTACATCATTTTGTGCATTTTTTCATCTCAGTTGTGATCCCCCTGGGCTTCCCATCACCAAATCACCCATGTGCCATCACCATAGTGCAGTGCATTTCCCTCCCCCTACTGTTTTTTACCCCATTCCCCACTCCACCCCCATAAAATGTCTCTGGTATATAGCTGTTCATTATTATTATTATTTTCTCGCCTGGTCCATTATACTCCTGCTATGAGAGAAACCATCTGGTATTTTTCCTTTTCTTTCTGGCTTATCTCACTAAGCATGATCTTTTTCCAGCTCCATCCAAGTTGCTGCAAAAGACATGTGTTTATATTTTTTGGTTGCTGAGTAATATTCCATTGTATATATGTACCACATCTTTTTAATCCAGTCATCCACTTTTGGGCATTTGGGTTGATTCCATATCTTTCCAACTGTAAGTAAAGCAGCAATAAACATGGGGGTGCAGGTATCTTTTAGAATCACTGTTTTTGTGTCTTTTGAGTAGATACCTAAGAGTGGGATTGCTGGGTCATATGGAAACTTTCTCACACAAAACTAGCGATAAAGGATTGATCACAAAGATATACATAGAACTGATGAAACTCAACAAAAATGAAGTAAACAAACCCATCAAAAAATGGGCGGAAGAACTAAAAGGACACTCATCCAAAGAGGAAATGCAGATGGCCAACAAGCATATGAAAAATGTTCAGCATCACTTTTGGGCATTTGGGTTGATTCCATGTTTAGCAGTTTGAGGAACCTCCAAACAGTTTTCCATAGTGGTTGTACTAGTTTGCATTCCCACCAGCAGTGCAGGAGAGTTCCTTTTTCCCCACATCCTTGCCAACATTTGTTGCTGCTAGTTGTTTGAAGATGTGCCATTCTCACTGGGATGAGGTGATATCTCATTGTGGTTTTAATTTGCATCTCCCTTATTATAAGTGATTTTAAACATTTTTTCATATGCTTATTGGCCAATTTTGAATGCTTTTAACCTTGATCTTGATTCTCACAAGCATCTACTAGTAATTACCAAATAAGAAATCTGACCAAATTAATATCTTAACTAGAACTAAACATAATATTGATTCTCGTGTAAGATTATTTTTAAACTATGA